GTATAGCAGGTATGACCAGTGTTCCGAAGACATTTCACCAGCCTACTTGCCCATCAGTGACTCATAAGCTGTTACGTGAAGCCATGTCCTCTCCAACAACCTCTAGTATCAGTCTTTGTAAAGTTTGTCAATTAAATGGGTGTAGGTTTTACAGGTGATTATTATATTTTTAAAAGATAATGGAATACCTAGCTGAAAAACAGCAGGGCATGCAGAAGCGCATGTTTAGAGTGTGTCCTGACCCTGGAGTTGCAACTAATCCAACTTGTGCCTCCACTGTTTAATAAAATATTTCCTTAAGAATCCAGAGGTCAGGCCAGCCATGGTGGCTGACTTTTGTAATCCCAGCACTTTGGAAAGCTGAGGTGGGTGGATCATGAGATCAGGAGTTCAAAACCAGCTGACCAATATGGTGAAACCTGTTTCTACTAAAAATACAAAAATTAGCTGGGTGTAGTGGTGTGAACCTGTTGTCCCAGCTGTGTGGAAATTCACTCAGGGTGGTGGCAAAAATATTAAGGGAAACGTAGAGAAAGTTTTAAAATATAGTCTCAAACGCTTTTGGAAGACCTATGGGTTTTTTCATAGTTTCAGTAGAAGTCTCAGCTGAAGGCAGCCTAAATCCTCCTTACATTTAGTTAATAAGTGAAGCAAATAGAGCATGTTGGGGAGTTTACCTAACTTGTTTACTCATGTGATCTTAAAACTAGCCTTTGAGCCGATGGCCCTCTTTGTGTGGGGAAGCAGGGGTTTGACCAGGGATATTATCCACTAATGGTGTTTGCTTTGGGCATTGGAACCTGTGCTTTAATCTTCAAATTCTAACGGTGTTGACTCAAGCCTTTGTTAATTAAACTTTACTAAATAAATGCAAGTCTCACTGTCTGGGGAGGGCTGGTGGCTGCTATCTGTTTACAGCACTCTCCAGGGAGTCTGTAAGCAGCCACAGACCCTCAGCCGGACTGGCAAAGCATAATATCTGTGTGTGTCTATTCATCCATCACTGAGGCAGGGTCTGCAGGATGGACCCCTGCAGGTGGTCACCCCACCAGTGACACTCCCAGCATGGGGCAACCCCAACACAGCTGCTCAAGAGGCTGAGGCAGGAGACTAGCTTGAACCCAGGAGGCAGAGGTTGCAGTGAGCTGAGATCACACCACTGCACTCCAGCCTGTGTGACAGAGCGAGACTCTGTCTCAAAAAATAATAATAATAATCCAGAGGTCAGACATTCCTTTGAGCAGTGACACCAATATGGTTTCTCACCTATTTATGCCAACAAAATTGCTTTTGTCAAAGCACAAGCAATATTCTTATTAAGTTATGAATTGAAGCATAATTCCTCAGCCTTTTTCTTAATTTATGTATCAGCAGCATTTGACACAGTTGATCTCTTCCTCCCTTTTGCAAATCTTTCTTTGATAGAATTCCAGAACACTTAACCCACATTTTCCTGACATTTTTGATAATTACCCCTAGTCCTTTTTTGCTGGTTTCTTCTCACCTTTGCTACTTTTTAAATGTTAGCGAACCACTAAGCTCAGGACCTGGACTTATCTTTAAATCTTTGCTTTTTTACTAATTTTTGTGTTATTAATTTCCTGACATTTCATATTGCACTTCAACACTACACGACACCCAACAGTGACTTCTTCACTTGGATGTCAGTTAGGAATCTCAAAATTAATTATGTCCACATGGAGCTGGTGATACTCCCTAAACTCGCTCTCCCCATTCTGTTTAAGGGCAACTCCCGTTTTATAATTTCTCAGCTCAGTATTCTTGGTGTCCCCTTTTAGTTCTCTCT